CCGCCACTCCGGCGGGGGGGGGGGGTGATTTCGTAGACTAGACAAATAAACAGTGAACTGCGGTGTCAAGCCTTTTGATGAAACAAAGCGCCCCCCCCTCCCCCTTTTCTATTTAATTCTTGATTTTTCATGCAACTATTGTTATCTATTCTATGACGTGAACGTCACCGCCAATCTTCTGTATCGCAGCGGTTGAAATAATTGGCTTTAAATTCAGGCAAGCGGCCGCCTACGTTTGATGACAGCGTCACTCACGTTAAGCTTCGTGGAATTGTGCTACCAAACGGCTGCCCGGGGGAGGAAACGCTGCGTCGTCGTCTTTTCAACGACGTGGATACGTCCGATTGCGACAAAGCTGAGGTGGCCGCTGTGCTACGGCCGAACATAGTCGCGTGGTCTACCCTGGTAAGTGCCTAAAAAAAAACAAACAAACAAAAAAAAAAAAACAAAAGCAAAAACAAAAAAAAAAAAGAGAAAAAGAACTACGTTGGTAGCAGCAAAAAACAACAAAAAAAAAACTAAACAAAAAAAAAAGACAAAAAAGACAACGTTGACATTGTACTCATTGCAGAATCCCAAGCTATTCTCCAGTATGACGTGAAGAAATACCCTGTCAGTATTTTTAGCAAACATGTTTGGAAAAAAAAAACTATTTCGTTGTTGCTTTGGGTGTAAAGTTAAAAGCCATTTTTATATGATAACTGTTCTATATGTGATCGACGGGCACAGCAGACTTATGAAGCAAAGTGCTAAGAAAATAATAAATGTCATTGTTTCTTTTACAAACAAAACTGCCGATGTTTGCTCTCTCTTCTCCTCCCCCGCCCGCCATTCCCATTCACTTGTCCGAACGGTATTTGCGCGATATGACTCGATGTAATACGTTTTTTTTTTGTTTTTTTTTTTATCCGCCACCGAATGAAGTGTTCTCTGAACGTCTCTGTTTTGCTGCTCAAAAAGTTAGACAACTTGACTGGCTGAGAGAAAAAACACCAAACGCGGCGAGCTTAGTCACAGACAAAACGTTCCTCAAGTCTGAAAGGCACGGCGGTTGCGGGTTCGGGGGGGTTGATGGAGGCCGTTCAAAAGCTCCAAGACCGGCATTTTATTGGGCCCACTGAATTATCCGGCACACGGAACATTCGGTACGGCAAAGTCAAGCGTGATGAATGGCTGTCAGGCGGCGAGTGACACGGCGGATTTATCAAACGGGGCCCGGCGCTCGTACGTCAGGCCCAGCCTTCGGCGGCGCCGACGCCGGCTTTTAGAGGCGAGCCATCTGTCAAAGACAAAAGGGAGTTCAAATATGACGCGGACCAGTCCTCAGGTAACGCCCGGGTCGGGCGCATCCGCTCTCGACGCAAATATGGAGTCGGACAAGGATCGGGAGATGCGCCGCGGCGAAGCGCTAACGCAGAAAGCAAGATGTGCAACAAACAAACAAAAGACCTTCTTTGTCTCTCTCAATCTCACACTGGTGCATTCCTCGACATTCACCTTGCATTGCTGGTTATTTTTTCTTCTTTCCGGTTTTACAGTCAGAGCAATCTATATTCAGAACAACCCCCCCCCCCTCAACCTCTCAGGATTTAACTTAAATCCTACATGAAAAGAACCAGACGGCAGTCAACATTTAATCCGCTGCCAGGATGAGAAAAATGATGCTTCTCGCTGCATCTTTAGTTATTTTAAACACCCAAATCATCCCGCTTTTTTTTTTTTTTTTTTTCCTAAACGTCAAATTTGCAGGTACGAATTTAGCGGTGCATTAATCCATTTCAATTTTGCCCCCAAAAAAAGAATAATTACCATTATTTGGATGATGAATAGCGTCTGCGGGAGGGCTCTATCTACACATCAAATAACTAATACTCCAAATAACTTGTCTATGAAATTGTTTTATTCATAGGGCCCAATTTCCAAGACAAATGTCTTTTTTTTTTTCAGGCACCACTTCGAATCTGATCGCGCTGCGAGAGCTTCAAAAACACAAAACGGGCGCTCCAGCCGCTGCGGGCGCTTTTATACGCGTTTGAATTATACGCTTATTAAAGTTACAAACTTCCTCGTGGGTCAGCTGGTGTAGCTACAGGCGCCCGCGTTCAAATGAGAAGTGAAATGTCAACATGCATTTACAGTCCTGCTGCTCACACTGTTGCCGACTTGAAAGGGGTTCTTTATGGGGGGGGGGGACGGGAACAAGCAGATGACCTATGAATTGCAATCACAAAGCCCCCCATTGCTTTTCATGGCACAGTAAATATGGATTGGCCTCATGGAGCCACATACTTTTCAACATGCGCCGGATGTTTACACATCAATCTCATCTGATATTGACCAAAGTAAAGCCTTTGGCGACAGCGAACGGCGCTCACGCCTTGCGGTTTACAGTTGGCGGGTTTGAAACACTCGCATGCAAAAAAAAAAAATGGACCTGAGTCACGAAGACACTCAAACGGTTGCTGCCGATTTGCATGTTTACTTGCTTTCGCATATTTAGCTTAGGAGCGAAAGTCGTGGCCATTGTCAGATTTAGCGAGGGGGTTAGCCGCAAACGGTGTGAGAAAGAAAAAAAAAATGCAAACTATTCTCACATTTGGTTAAATCACATTGAGTAGCTTTTTCCCAACCAGAGCCACTGACGTATGGATTTTGGCCTATTTTAATGCCATTTCACCCCCGCGCCCCCCCCCCCTTTTTTTTTTTTTTGAAATGTGGGCCGCAAGATTCCTCAAATGTGCAATATGTGCCTTGGCTGAGCAATCTTTGACTGCAAAACATACAATGCGGTGGCATATCCAGTAAAGTCGAGACAGGCTGTCACAGCAGATTTGTCAGGGCTCATCAAAAACCCACTGGGGGCCGTGCGCCTCCGTTCGCCAGGGCCTCTTAAGTGTCTACCTTTGCATAAATATGACTCGTGACGTGTCAACGCGCGGATGAAAACGAGGCCTTTTTAGCGGCTTCCGCTCGGCTGCCGCACACTCAGCGCGGGCACGCGTTCAGCCGACGAGCATGCGAAACGGCGGTTCGGTTTTTTTTCACCGTGGCCAATGCTTGAAAGCCAATGCGAATAAGGGAATTCTCAAAGTGAGCAAGACGGCCTATCGATGGATGCAGCCCCCTTGCTGTTGCCACACCGGTGCTCTGTTGGTGACGGGAGGATACTTAGCGGCCGCTTTTGTTTCACATCCCCCTCCGTGACGCGGGCGTCAGATCGATGCGGCGACTAATGAGCGTGCGCTCAAATCATGATGAATGAGGACGAGGACGAAAGATGAGGAGGGGAGGAAATTGTTGCTCCGAACTCGCCGTCAAATCTACGGATGCGCGCGTCGCTGTAGGTTGCACTGTGGCTGCGCCCATCAGGCTCATTAGTGCCGCGCAGGGCCGATATTCATCATCGGTGCATATTAAAGTCTTGTTGTGAATCAGCGGTAGAGTCGGTGACAGCGACTCCCTCCAAGTACTTTCTGCAAGTGGATTCATAGGCGTAGGCAGATTCGAGTACGAAACACTAACACCGTCGTTTATCGCGGGGGGTTGCGTTCCAAAAACGTTTATTATTTACGAATATTACGAATACACGCAGGCAGGAAAGTAACACAAGGAAAAAAAAAAAAGTCATTAACAAGTGCCTGCAGAGGTGATAATGATTTCCATTTGGAAAACCTCATCGACTGGTTTTTGGAACCAACACATCGCAAAGTAGGTTTGGTCCACACAGCATTTTAGCGCGGCGCTAATCAACGGCGAAAGCTGTGCGCCCGAAAACAGCCGCTAGGACGTCTTTGTCATCACGACAGGGTGGCCTATTTTTCTTCAACGCAACAAAAGGCATCGGTGAAAGGAAGAAGGGCTCACGTTTGAAGAGGACATTCGGGGACGGACGAACCGCAGTGCCAACTATCACAATCGGTTGGGCAAAGCACTGAAAGAAGCCAGTACGTGTTGTACACATGAGGATTCGTACCGAGGATAAGCATCGCCGTCGTCGCTCGCTCCCAGTGCCTTGAGATAACGACACAATTGACAGTCATCATCTTTGTGTTATTCGGGGTGCAAAAAAATGTTACCCTAACACATCAATCACAATACATACAAAAGAGAGAGACACCATTTGACCCAATCCGGAAGAAAAATCTCGGCGCACGCATCCGGTTGCTTTTGTGACAGGATTGTTTACGCCGAGATTTGAAACTTAGTCGAACGCGGCAAATGAACACAAATGGCGGCGCTCGGCCATCAATCATCGGGCCGGCCCCCCCCGGCGGCTGCGAAAGGTAAAGCGTATGAGTTCACGCGGCGCGCAGCTTGCAGGCGGCAGTGACTAAACAAGCCTTCAGTTCATTACACGCTTCCCTGCAAACTACAACCACCATCTTGCCTTTGATCTTCATTATAGTTTTGATAGATTCCTTCTGTTTCCGCCCCCTTTCTCTCTCCGGCTGATTTCTTTTGTCCCCCCGC